ACGTGATGCCACTGAACACGCTCCGCATTTTCAGCACGTTATAAAATGAGTTTTTCTCGAAATTTGGTTCAAACAGACTGACAAAATCCATGTAACAGCTGGTGCGACTGGCCCTCTGGCCAGTAACTCAAACTTAGAGAAAGATATCTCTAAATTCTAGGGTTCTTTGCCCAGCCCTTTTATTTTGTATTCAGGATTAAGTTTTATCTTTGATTCTGAAAAAAACAAAACAAATTGGGGCTGTGTTGGGCTGTGGATGAAAGTTTCCAGGGTTCAAGACGTGATGCCAGTGATCATGCTCTTACAACTGTGGGCAAGTTTTAAAAGTGACAGCCAATCCTACGCAAGTTTTAAAAAGTGACAGGCAATCCTGGGCAATTTTTAAAAGTTACAGCGAATGCTTGACAAGTTTAAAAAGTGACAGCCAATCCTGGGCAATTTTTAAAAGTGACAGCCAATTTTGAGCAATTTTTAAAAGTGACAGGCAATCCTGAGCAAGTTTTAAAAGTGACAGACAATCCCGTAATTTGGTTCAAATAGAATGAAAAAAGTCAATGTAACAGCTAGTACTACTGGGTCACTGCCTTCACTCTGACCAGTAATTCAAAATTAGAGAAGGCTATACCTGAATCCTAGGATTCTCTGACACGTGCGCTCAAGATTCCGTTCAAGATGAAAATTCCAATTACTTTAAATTACGTTACCATTCCAACATCATCCTTATTTTTTCTTTCTTTTTTATTAGTTGTTACTTTTGGCACGTGATAAAAGCCCATGGGTTGGGATGGTGCAATAATCTGTACTTTTTAGTATATAAATGGGAAACATGACATGCGCATGACCTGTGACATGGGTCATTAAAGATTGTGGGATACCGAACTAAGGTGGTGTTTTACCCAACTATGAAGTTTGATATCAGACAATTTTTTCAGTCCTTATCCAATACAAGTCGTCCTTATCCTTCCTGCTATAACAGCTAAGAAACAACACGATTGATCTTGCTGTGTATAAAGCGTTCCCAGTAAAATCGTTATTTTGACCAATTAACACAAATTTCGTTCTGGCAAACAGTGACAAACTACAGGCGTGACTCCAATTCTTGACAGTGTTGCTCACCGAATAAAGACAATTGTCTGCTCTTGTTTCGTAATGAAATTTTAGAAGTGGACCCACTATAGAAGACCTCCCACTTTTTTTTCCTCCCCATAAATCAGGTTCCTCTTGCTCAAACAGCCCGCTGTGGTGGACATTTTGCTATTTATTTTTCATTTAGTAACTGGCATCACTGCTACTGAGCAGTTTCTTGGATACTTATGGTCGGTGGATGAGGAATTTGTTAACAATAAAAAAATAGAGAAAGAAATGAACATGCCTGAAGAAAAACTAACTTTTTTTTTTACTTTTATCGTTCCCACCCTTCAACTAAAGACAGAAAATATGCTGAACTAGGATAAACATGACGGAGATAGTAAATTGGTGATCTCATCATGTTATTTTTAGTAAGAAGCCCTTATATTTTACTGCCCTAAGCAGATGCCAACCTTGCCAATAAGTCTGGCCCTCTATGTGTCAGAAAAGTACAACAAAGTAGTCGGGAAATGAAAATTTGATTCTGGTGATTGGATATGACTGTGGTATACGCCTGCAGCATTCGGAAACTTGTCTTTGACTGGACTTGTCTGTAATTGACATATCAAAATAAAATAATATGTTGAACAATCGCCATTTTATATATATATATATATTATTTTTTTTTTTTGTAAAAAGTGACCGAACCATGTTATGAAAAGGCTCGTTTGCCCTCAAAATGTGACAGTGCCATGTTATGACAAGGCTCGTGCTATCAAATATCCTGTAGCAAATGTTTTTAAAATTAAATGAGGCAGAATTTAAGTTTGCAGAGAAGATTTTTCGCAGATAAACAAATTGTTGTTTTTCTGGGAAAGCACTTATCTCCTAGCCTTTGGTTGGACTATCGTTTTTATGGCCATATAATTCGAAGGAAGGGAATAAAATTACACAGTCTGTTAACAAACTTTAGTTACTGATTTTATTCTTACATCAAACTGTTTTAATTTACAAGTTAGATAAGGTTATAACGTGTGCATGTGAGCCCCCCAATGGCACAGCGGTATGTCTGCGGACTTACAACGCTAGAAACCGGGTTTCGATACCC